AGCAAAAACGATGCTCCTCTGCGTTAATAACAGCTGGTCGGGAACCCCCAAAAGTGTGTTATAAGACAGTATTAGACTTAAGGATAGAGAAGTATTCGGTTCGTCATCAGTTCTTAGTTTGCACTACACTAACCTGGGACATGATACTGGGCATGGATTTTATGTTAAAACACTTACTTACTTACCTACTTACGCCTGTTACTCCCAATGGAGCATAGGCCGCCCACCAGTTTTCTCCAACCAACTCTGTCCTGGGCTTCCCTCTCCAGTTCTGTCCAATGTTTGTTCATTCTTCTCATACATTTCCCTATTGTATGTATTGTACTGTATTCTTTGGCCTTCCTCTTTTCCTCTTTCCTTGAGGGTTCCATGTGAGGGCTTGTCTTGTGACACCGTTAGGTGCTTTTCATAGTGTGTATCCTATCCACTTTCACCGCTTCTTCCTGATTTACTCCTCCACTGGAATCTGGTTTGTTTTCTCCCACAGTACGTTGTTGCTGATGGTGTCTGGCCAAAGAATACGAAGTATTTTGCGTAGACAGGTGTTAATAAACACTTGTATCTTCTGGATGATGGCTTTGGTAGTTCGCCAAGTTTCCGCTCCATACAGTAGAACTGTCTTGACATTTATATTCAAAATCCTGATTTTGATTTTGGTTGAAAGTTGTTTGGAGTTCCAGGTATTTTTTCAACTGTAGAAATACAGCCCTTGCTTTGCCAATCCGCACCCTCACATCTGCATCGGATCCACCTTTCTCGTCGATGATGCTGCCCAGATATGTAAAGCTGTTGACATCCTCCAAGGCATCTTTATCAAGAGTGATTTGGTTGACGGATGTTGTGTTGCATCGGAGAATTTTGCTTTTTCCTTTATGTATGTTGAGACCTGCCGCTGCAGAGGCTGCTGCTACACTGGTCGTCTTCTCTTGCATTTGTTGTTACGTGTGCGATACAAGAGTCAGGTCACCTGCCAAGTCCAGATCGTCCAGCTGCGTCCTAACTGTCCAGTTGATACCGTGCTTCCCTCCAGGTGCTGACGTCTTCATAATCCAGTCGAACATCAGGAGAAAGAGAAATCGTAAGAGTAAGCAACCTTGCCTGACACCGGTCTTCACCTCGAAAGAGTCTGGTAGCTGTCCTACGTGCAAGATTTTGCACTTGAATCCATCATAAGAATTCCGTATGATGTTAACTATTTTCTCAGGCACACCATAGTGTCGAAGAAGCCTCCACAGTGTTTTCCTATCCACACTATCGAATGCCTTCTCGTAGTCGATGAAGTTGATGTACAGTGGTGAGTTCCATTCAATTGATTGTTCCACAATGATCCATAATGTAGCAATTTGGTCAGTACATGATCGATCCTTACGAAATCCGGACTGTTGATCTCGAAGTTGGGCGTCTACGAAGTCCTACATTCTGTTTAACAATACCCTGTTGAAGATTCTGTCTGGAATTGAAAGTAGAGTGATGCCTCTGTAGTTCTCACACTTGCTGAGATCGCCTTTCTTTGGTATTTTGATGAGGTATCCTTCTTTCCAATCTGATGGTACTTGTTCCTCATCCCAAATCTTCTTGAAGAGAATCTGCAATATTTTCACAGTTGCTTCTACATCTGCTTACATTGCCTCTGCTGGAATGTTGTCTGGTCCTGCTGCTTTGCCACTCTTGATTTGTCTGATGGCCATACTGATCTCTTCAACTGAAGGTGCGCCAATATTAATTGGGAGGTCCGTGGATGCTGTTCGATGTTGGGTGTGTTCAGCGGAGCTGGTCGATTCAAGAGTTTCTTAAAGTGCTCTACCCACCTATTTCGCTGTTCTTGAGTGTTGCTGCTTACTTTGCCCTCCTTGCTTTTCACTGGTCGTTCTGGTTTACGATAGTTTCTAGCGAACTTCTTTGTTGTTTCGTACAATTGTCTCAAGTTTCCGTCTCTTGCAGCCTTTTCCGCCGTCATTGCTAGATCCTCCACATATTTTCGTTTGTCAGCTCTGATGCTCTTCTTCACCTCCCTGTTTGCTTCTGTGTGTGCAGCTTGTGCCTTAACTTTCTCTGCTCTTGTTTGGCTAGCATTGATTGCTGCCTTCTTGTTCCTCCTTTCTTCAATTTTTGCAAGAGTATCAACAGACATCCAATCCTTGTGATGGTACTCCTTGTGACCCAGAACTTCGTGACATGTTGAAGTGATTGCCTCCTTAATCCCTTTCCAATTGTTCTCCAATGTTGCGTCCTCTCCATTGAGTAGATCCTGAAAGGCCTGGAACCTATTGGTGAGGGCTATCTTGAATTCGTTGAGCTTTACAGTATCCCGAAGAAAGGCCGTGATAAACTTGTGTGATGTTGTCTGTCCCGTTGTCCAGTGCTTCTTTAGTTTGAGTTTCATTTTGGCGATCAGCAAATGGTGATCTGAGGCTATATCAGCTCCTCTCTTGGTTCTCACATCCTCCATAGTCCTTCTGAACGTTTTGTTGATACAGATATGATCAATCTGGTTTTGAGTAGTATGGTCTGGTGAAATCCATGTGGCTTTGTGTATGCGCTTGTGCGGGAATATTGTGCCACCGATGACCAGTTTGTTGAAGGCACATAGGTTTGCAAATCTCTCACCGTTTTCGTTCCTTTCTGGCAGTCCATGTCGTCCCATGATATCTTCATATCCAGTGTTGCCCGTGCCAACTTTTTCATCTAGGTCTCTCCTTTGGTGAGCATCTGTCGACAATTGACTGCGGCCTTTCGTAGAATTGATCTTTAACGTCGTCATTGTAGTGATTGGTAGGTGCATAACATTGGATGACGTTAATTCTAATGTCCTGTTTCTTTGATTTGAAGGATGCTTTAATGATCCTAGGTCCATGAGATTCCCACCCTATCAGTGCCTTTTGTGCATGTTTGGACAGCATCAGTGCAACTCCTTGTGTATGTGAAGCATGACCAGAGTATAACAGCAGTTCCCCTGAAGCTAGTCTCAGTTGTCCTACCTGTGTCCAATGCGTTTCACTGATGCCGAGCACCTCGAGGTTGTATCTTTTCATTTCTGCCGCAACTTGAAATAGTCTTCCAGTCTCCAACAATGTACGAACGTTCCATGTACCTAAAGGAATGATTGCTCTGGTTGTCAGAAGAGGCATCGGCCCCGTGACTTCCGAGAGATCTCGGCTTTCATCACGCGACGTCATAATTCTTCTTCCAACTCCCAGGGCAGAGCTAAAATGGTTTGAATCGTTTTTTTTTGGTTAGCGTTTTTTTGGCAAGTTAGTTTTGGACGGAATGGGGTCGCCAACCCCATGTCCAACCCTCCTCCTTTACGCGGGCTTGGGACCGGCAGTAGCCCCGAAGGTTCTACTGGCGGAGTTATGTTAAAACACTAAGTCTCTCCTTATATGGATAGGGCAGAATTAAAAATAAGTAAGGATACGATACGCCTACACCAGTATAAAGGGGCTACTAAGCCTGTAACTCACGTGGTAATTTCAGAGCTGGTACGTCAGATACAAAGCAACCACATGATAAAGGAAAATGATCGTCGTGCAACGATTACTATCACTTTTACAGTAATTGTGAAAGCATTTGTGACAATTTGATCTAGCCTGTAAACTGACGTGACTCGTGCAACCTAGTTATTTGAGAATATATATTATTATTGTTATTGTTAAGTCATCTGATAATGGGGTATTAGGAGTGCCAACTCACCTTAACATGAGCATGTTGTCCAAAATAACACCACATTACCCCTCAAGGTGGTCCTCGAAAAATTTCACATCGAAGAATGAACACCCAGGTTTGTGCAGACCCATTAAGAGTCTGTGGTGGACCAACCGATATAATATTTAAAAATATTAACGTTATTGAATACAACCAGATGTATAGCGAAATATATCAGTTAAATGTTATGAACACAATAAAAATGTATGGAAGTTACTTAATGTGGCTGCTTGTAGGTGTTCGGTTGCGTTTGGTACCAAAAATCCACAATAATAGGAGATTAGTAATCCCAGTGATATATTTCGTCGTAGAATAGTATATGAATATGACTTCAGTCTATAAATGTAGATAATATATGCATTAGAATCCAGATAACACATTAATGAGCAATGGGGAACACATAATATGTGTATAAAGTGTATTTGTTTGGAGAAGACAGCGTATGTCGTGCTATGCGTACAACAGAACGGAAAAAGGTGAGTAGTCAATGCTATTAGTCTATCAAGGTCACACTTTTAAACAACACGTACAATCGTTTTATAGTAAATGCAAAAGCAGTGAAAAATTAACAGAATAAATGCAAAATAGGTTTGTCATTCTTATCTCCACAAGACTTCCCAAATGGGAATTCTCTCCTAATTGAAGTGATAACAGCCCCTTCAGTGGATATAATTAAGAAGAGACTTGATAAACACGTGCTCACATGTGGATTATCGTCTTCAGTTTGGACTAGCTGTGCCTGCATGTTTCGAAAACTGTCTGTTGTTATTATCATTACTTGCTCAGATCATGAACTTATTTTACGTGGCCTCTCTTCACCTACGTTTACGCTTTTATCCTCTCTCACCATCCAACTTGTTAATTTATTTGTCCTCTCATTTAGGAAACATTCGTATCTTGTGGATTATATCCATATTTGAAAGGGAAATGAGCAGTACTCAATGGAGGGCCTTATACACATTTTGAAGAGTGCAAACTTAGCCTCATTTGTCAAGAAGTTCTTCTTATTTATGAACCCCGTAAACCATCTAGACTTAGAGATAATAAAAGAGGCATGTTCTCCAAATTTTAAACGTGATAAACATGGACTCACATATGGATTATCATCTCCCACTTGCACCGGCTGTGCCCGATGCATGTCTCGGAACTTGCTAGTTATCATTATTATCATTTTCGAAGATCAATAACTTACTATCTCAGTTCCTTCTCCCCTGCTTACACTTCTGTCTTCTCACACAATCCTCGCTGCCAACCAATTAACTTAAATAAATAGCAACCCACTGACAAGAATTAGTGTAGTCGAGTGGCTAGACCACCATCTATCGGAGACTACCAAATACCTTAAACCGTTCCAAAAGAATAAGGAGCGAGCGCAAAGCAACCAATCGGGGTATACTATCTGGTGAAAAAGATATTGGATATTGAACTACTTATTTCTTTGGCCCAAATTCAGTGGCTTGCGTTGGTTGGAATGTAGGTTTATTCAGGTTTCATTCTGTTAAATGTTCATCGTTTTTACATTCTTCAACTTTGGTTTTCAGTAGTAATAATGTATTCGCCTTTAATTTGTCCGCTTAATTGTTATTAGAAATATTTCCGATAATGAATTATGGTCCTAATTCACTGACACAAAATTGGAACCCCCAGTCAGGAAACATATTTATCCTAATTATTAAGAAAGGATGGCTTTGTAAAGTCTCAATCCATAGATCCCATCTCATATTTACTTGAAATTACTGTGCTATTGTATTTTTTTCATTAAGACTGTACTCTGAACTGTGATACGTACCTAATCCTTAACCACACAAATTAGCCTATGCCTGATTATTCTACTAGCCCTAGTTTTTGAACTGGCTACCATAACAATGTGGATTATTTATATATGGTACTATCATTGCTTATAAAGTGAGTTCTCTCTCGAAGAATCCATGTTTAGTGATTTCCGTTTGGTCTTCTGGTAAATATTACTTGTATCAATGCCTCCACCATACTCTCAGGTTGAATTCAACCCAAAGACTCATGAACGTGGAACATACAATCTACCTATTGCCGTTAGGTGGCTTTTTCATGTTTGTAACGATACTGACTAGGTCCAAACGTGAACGATAATGGAAAATGTTGCTTCAGAACGTTTTTGTGTCTGCTTAGTTTGTAAATATACATTAAGGTAGTCAAGTGGGTTGACTGTCGTTAACAAACCTAGATGGCTTGGGTGTTCAGATGCTCGTAGAGGCAGCCCCTTTTTCCACATCGTCACTCCAAGCTCCATCTTGCACAGATAGAAAATCTTTGTTTCTACTAAAGATCAAAAATGTTCAATATTGGTCTGCTCTAACTTGTCAAGTGTAAAACCTACACGCGAACTATAAAACATAAAGCAATTAAATACGCTTGATCACGGACACTTTTGATGTAGTCAGTCATCATCAACGTAAGATCTGACAAGTATATATCTATCTAACTTCCCACACTACACATCAGCATGGTGAGAAACAAAATTAACAGTATGCAAAATTGATAGGCATTACTTTTTGCGACAGTTAAAATGGAAGGAACAAGACCAAAGAGTGGATACAGAAGCAGTTTAGGATTGAATTGAATTCAGCCTCAATAATGCGACTTTGAAGTATTAAGTTAATGCAACTATACGTTTGCGTATTCTACTTTGACCTGAAATTTGTCTGAACATTTCTAAAACTACCAGAATTAAAGTAAGTACATCGTATGAAACTTTTAACTCCCATGGTTTCGGTAACTAAGCATGTGTTGCACTTGCCTACGCAATGCTACACTTGCAAGTAGGTGGGATTTACAAAGAAGTCTCCGGTTAAAGAGATCAAGATATTGTATTAGTGTAAGCCATCTGATGAACTGGCACTACAAAATTACATACTTCCCTTTAGATATTTTAAACTAAGCGATTTATTCCGAAATCAATCACATTACAGCAAATAACCTATAATATTTTCTATTACGATGAGTCTACCGGTATTCTGAGGACTTTGACTACTATCTTGGGATTATCACTTTCAGTTCATAGGTTTTCTAAGTGATGCTACGCTTCTTGTCTCTGGTCCTAAGTAGTTTATGCGTATGCATCCTGTCTAAAAGCAACTTAGTGCAACTCCAGATCGTACTTTCAGATAAGCTTTACTGGATAAAGTTTATCCTTATAAACTGTTGGTCCACGAGCCTAGATTATGCTTTTCAATTTAGGCTTCATCTAAGTCTTATGGGTCGTAAATTATAGATAAATATCTAGACAATAAATGGTTTAATTACACAAATAGTCAATCGGTTACAACGTAGAACTTCGTACGTACGTACATCAACTCCGCCTGTAGCCCCTCCGGGGCTACTGCCCGTCTCAAGCCCAGATAAAGAAGGGCTGGTTTTGGAATTGGCGACCCTATCCGGTAGAAAACTAACTCTCTAGAAAAACGATAATAAGAAAAAACAGTTCCAACCACTTAAACTCTGCCCTGGAGGTTAGAAAGTATTCATTTAGAAGAATTATGACGTCTCATGGTGAAAGCCGAATTCCTTCGGAAGTCACGAGGCCGATACCCCCTCTGAAAACCAGAGCCCTTCTACGGTGTTGGCAGCTAGGAAGTCACAACCGCCCTCATACCCGTAACAACACACGAGACCAAATCGGTCATGATCAAAACCTTCTGACACCTAATAACTCTCTTATCTCCTCGACCAACTCTTCTTTCGTTCCTTTTTCGCCTTGTGCCACAGATACAAACGTTTTGAGCTCATGAAACGTTATCCCTGGTCTCCTAAAACTCCGTTCTAAACTACATATTGGGGCTTTTAACGTTCTAATCCTGTTTCAAATAAGGCAACAGGCCTCCTTATCTTAGACTCTGGAACCCCGTGCCGTCGATTTATGTTGCGTCTCCGAAACGCGCACACAGCATCCGAGCAAAATAAATAGTTTGATTTCACCTTGTCCAGATAGAAAATCAACCCGGTTTACGCTTCGTTTATCTGAAAGCCTTGCTTCTGCTTCCCGTGGCCTCGTTGGCGCAGGTATAGCATTGATTCTTAGTGCAAAACTAGCCGTCCTAGACTGTGTCTCAGTAGATAGTCGCTTGTGCGCTGTCCAACTGAACGGGACAGTAAGGACGCGAAAATATATGGACACTCGCTGTTGCCTCTTCGTCGTATCTGCCTACGCTCCCACTAACTGCAGTTTGGACGAGATAAAAGATGAGTTTTAAGGTGTTGCAGCCCAAAGAACTGATAAAGGCGACCGTCTGCTGCAGCTATGCTCAGGTAACCGCCTATTCCTAGCAAACACTGACTTTAAGCATGAGGGAAAATATTCCTTGACCTGACGATCCCCAAAGTCATCTAAACGTCGAACCCAACTAGATCGCATTGCCATCAGCCACCGATGGAGGGGTTCGACAGAGAACTGTCTTTCGTTATGTGGCACATGTTTAGATTCAGATTATGCTCTAGTGCGAGCGCGTATTTGTTTGCGACCTACTTAACGTAGGAAAGATACAGAAAAGAAACCGCTTAGGGTTCTACTTAATGATAGCAAAGCTAAGAACATATTTCAGGAGCAACTAGAAGAACAGTTGGGCGGCCATGTAAGTGGTTGTCATCCGGAGGCAGCTTGAAATGATATCCGAAAAGCTGTGGGAACAGCAGTGATATCTGCTATTAAGGTAAACCGTAAGGTTAGGGAGAAGCCATGGATCTCAGTACCATCTGCCAAACTGATAGATGCTTGAAAACTCATCCCATCTGGCTCTGAACATGACGAAGAGCGAAGTCATCTTAAGCTCAGGCTGATAAAAAGCCTACTCAATGATCGCGAACAGTGATGGGTAGCGAAAGCAAGAGCGATGGAAAAGACAGCTATGATAGGTAAGAGTGGACAACTGTTCAGACTTATCAAGGAAACCGGTATTAGAAATCAATCTGTAAGCGAAACTATCTAAGAAAAGGATGGTCTCTTTATTCATTCATAATCCAGGAGATTGGATCAATGGGCAGAACACTAGGAATCCGTTTAACTGACCTTTAGCCACACTTGGGTTACCCACGATCTCCAGTCAACCCGAATGACAAATCGACGTAAGCCCTCCGAGTCTTTATGAAGTTGAGAAAGCTATAAGAAATCTGAAGCAAGGGAGAGCAGCGGGTCCTGAGGGCCAAAACCTGATATTTTTAAGGAAGGTGGTGCAGTTTCAGCTGTTGGATCGACTGAGATCTTAGCTAGAATCTGGGAACTGGACGTAATCCCGCCCGAATCGTCTCAATCACTGATTGTGCTAATCTATAAGAAAGGACAAAAGTACTCTTGTGACAATCACAGAGGAATCAGTCTAACCAATATAGTGTCCAAGATATCAGCTTCAATAATACTTTTACGCCTAAATACGCCTCATGAAGAGCAAACTCCAGAAAATAAGGGTGGGTTCAAACCTGGACGCGTATATATAGACCAGATATTCACACTACGTCAGGTCCTAGAACAAAGAAACACGTCCAGACGCCTCACAATTGTAGTATTTCTCGATCTTTAGACGGTATTCGACTCTATTGATCGTGAGGTTCTGTGACAGTATCTGTCATTTAAAGATGTACCAAAGAAGTACATTAACCTTACACAGGCTCTCTACTCAAACACTACTGGTCGAGTGATAGCTTATGGCGACCTGTAATCGGAATTAGTTACTTCAAATGGTGTCCGTCAAGGCTGTCCACTCTCTCCATTCTTGTTTAACTTTGTCGTACATATGCTTTTAGAGTTAACATTATCGTCAGACTTTTCAGGAGTGGATATTTACCAGGGGATTGATTGTTTGATTTAGAATATACCGATGACATAGTTCTACTTGGTGAAGACGCTGACAAAATGCAGTCTTCTGACTACTCTAAACAACAATGCAAGCATGTTCGGGATGCGATCCCCCCCTCGAAATGCAAAATGTTGGCTTCTGCCAACTTGCGTCACTAATAGCGTAGGCGAGATATCTGTCTGCTAACCAAAAGACGAGTCTACTGCGCAGCAGTTCGTTCCGTCCTACTTTATGGATGCGAAACATGGCCGGTAAGGGTTGGGTATATTCTTAGGTTATTAGTATTCGATCATAGGCGTTTTTGAATCACTGCTCATATATCCTGGGACTGTCGAGTAAGCAATGCTGTTGTTAGGAAACGAGTACTAGGTGAGGGTGACAGATTAGTAAATGAAGTAGTGAAACTTCATCAATTAAGGTTTTTGGAATCTATGTTACGAATATCCATTCACCGACTGCCTCATCGGCGTATGTTTTGTAGTATAGGAGTAGATTGGAGAAAAGCTAGGTGGCTAGACCAATTAAAAAAATTGACTAGTTTTCCTTCCATTTTATGGACCTTATGAATTCCCTTTAACAAGCTAATCCATTTTTTTTTTCAATCACCAAGTATTCTCATCAGTCCCTTTTATGGCTCAGAACCTTCAAAGTCTTCTTCGCCTTGCTATTGAAAATTCTGAAGATGCTACCCCAAAACCCATGGATCCAAAGGTAATCCTACGTTTTGGTAGTTAATTTCAAAAATAGGACGCCGAATGGTTGAAGGAAGCACTAACTGCATCAACTGTCGACTTGAGTAAGCAACTCACTAAAGATGTACAGATTTTATCATCGTATTTGTCATCCGCGGAGCCTGATTTGAATGAAATGAAGAAAATCATTGAAGATTTGTTAACTTTAACTGACGATTTAGATCTGTCAAACGATTTCTTGATTGTTGGAGGTCAAGATGTACTAAACAGGCTATTATTTGGTGGCCCACCTTCATTAAGAATAGATGGATTGAAATTGCTGGCAAATATTACTCAAAACAATCCTCAAGCTCAGAAATTGTACACTGATAACGGTGTATTGGCGCGACTAATTTTGATGTTCGAGGAAGAAACAGGTCTAGAGTTTTCGAGACATTTGTTGCTGGCCATATCATGTAAGTATTTTTCACTAATTGATATAATTTGGATTTGTTCAGCTAGTCAAAGCTGTCATGCCACTCAACATTAAATTAGCATTACGAATGGCACGGAAGTCACTGGATCTGTAGTACTAATTATATATATATATATATATATATATATATATATATATATATCACGAAGATCAATACGTAAATGAACATCAATGTGGGGACGAACAGGCTTAAATATTTTGACGTGTGTTTATCAGTAATCTTTAGTGGTATATTTATTCCTGCTGAAACTTGTGATGAACCCATAGTTGTATGTGAAAATCAAGGGCCCCAGACAATCTCGTGTTCAATATTCTGGTGAGCAATAAACTCGATGACAATGGATTTGTTGCAGCAAATAACTTTTGTGTTTTATGCTAATTAAGATCCTAGCCACCTATTAACATATTGTTATCTTTTTTGCGCTTAACTAAATATATACGGTGTTCTAATATCATTGAAGGTAATGAAAGCTATTCCAAATCTCAGACAAAAATAGGTAATTCTGTGTGTTAAATGGTTTTTTCAGTGATTCTCGAACCAAGTCCATTCAATGCACATGTAGTTAGTAATGGTGTTGTATATATTTCTGCCTTGGACGTTCACACTTGGTTTTTATGTTGTATTGCCTACAGGTATCACACAAACTTATGCTCCAGGAATTAGTGTATTTACAGAGTCAAAAGGTGTTGATCTAGTTCTCGATGCACTTATCAGAGAAGTGAAAAAAACGAAATCAGACGAAGTAAATCGCCTAGTTGCTAAAGGTGCATTCCTAGTCTACTGTGTTATGCAGGAACCGGCTTCAAAACCGTTGCGTGAGTACCGTTTTTTATTTTGTCTTCACTCCGTTAGTATTGGATAAAAGCGATAAAAATGGATTCTATTTAAAAATCTTGGATATATGTTTGAATTTTGTTGACAAGGCGCGGAAACAAAGTATATCCTTTCCTCAAGATAACACAACTCGAGCTTCTATATCTATCAATGTAATCCATTCACAAATGGGGCCACTTCAGAAGACTCAACCACAGCAGCCAGTGATTATAATAGGTCCATATGCCAATCACCTAGAGGGAGTGTGTACCATTGGTTAGGAATCAGGAATTTCCAACTTGTTTAAGTAAACCCACTGTATTTACCAACTCAGTGTAAGCCTGGTACATTCTCTTTCCCTAATTCATGTTTGTAAAAATACTCCCGCTACTTAGTGAAGCCCTCATGTCCCAAATGCTCATAGAGAAACCGATCGGCACGTTCCGAATGAACATACAAGTTGATTTCCTATGCGCTAACCTTTCTAGTACAATCTCAGTCTGGATTAATGCGAATTACTTTTACCCCTTCCATTACACCTCAGTAATGTTTTGAACGTTCTATTTTTTGCAAATCGTAAATTGCCCTTTTTTCTTTGCACTTACCGAAAAAATACATTCATGTTTCAGAATCTGAACTACCGTCCACTGTACACAAACTGATAGATCTCTTGTATCTCCTAGAAGCTCCACAAGAACACCTACTGGCTACCTTAACCTTTCTTCTCTGTCCATCAGATGGTGACTCAAGTTGTGCCACAAAAATATTGTCCGAAAAGCCATACGAATCATTTCGTAATTGGCTACAAAGACACTTTGATGAGCTTCGCAACAAAAACGACCCAGCTGATGAAGAACGTCTCAACTACATAAATTGTTTGCTAAAGGTTTTATCTTGAACAAAGCATTTTTTGTATTGTCAGTATTTCGTAATAATATAATTATGGCGAAATCATAAATAACTTTCGTGTTCAAGTTAATGTTTGGGATCTTTTTTGTAGGTACGAATACAGTGTCCGGTTGACTCGATGTTGTGTTTAATCAGTGGTCCAGACCGAGTGTATGCAGCACCAAACAGCTGTATGTAGCACCACCTGTCCATCACTTAGGTTCCAACTTTCTATGTTATTTAACACCTGTATACAACGCAGCTACAAGCCATCTTAAACTTTTTTTTGGCTCTCACCACTAAAGTGAATTAGCAATCTACAGTCTTGACACAGTAATGACCAGTCGTATAACTAACCGACGGCCCTCCTACCTCTGCAGTAGCTTTTAATCCTCTAGCACTAAAGTACGCTTGGGACCAAAGAGTTCTGCTTTACTTTGATATACTAAAACAGCATTTGCATATACACAATTAAGAGCCATTCGTTTCATCTGTTCCTTCAAAACATTACTGTTTACACCTGCAAGCAATTTTTTGAACAAGCAACATGTTTGTAGATGATTTTCGTCATTTTTTGTGTAACAAGCACTGTGGTCATTATTACCAGACATTCCTCCTAAGGACATCTGGAAACGCAACGACAAATACTAGATATCGAGCTATGATCTACTTCAGTCAGTCAGTTACAACGTAGAACTTCGTAAGTACGTAGATTAGTTCAAGTTGTCATACCATCACATATGCACAGACAGATCAATTCACAACCAGTAGTAGTAGAGGTGATGGGGAAGACTAGGGTTCGAAGAATTTATTCAAAAAGTATAATCCAGTGAGAGAAGACATAGCATCGATGCACATGTGCCACTGCAAACTTTTTGAGCCATGTCATTCAAAGTTTCTAAACATTGGTTACCATTGTCCCACAGACCCTAACTAGATAATTTACACGTACCTACTAACATCAGTAATTCAAACCATTTTAACTCTGCCCTGGGAGTTGGAAGAGGAATTATAACGTCGCGTGATGAAAGCCGAGTTCCCTCGGAAGTCACGGGGCCGATACCTATTCTTACAACCAGAGCAACCATTCTTTTAGGTATATCGAACGTTTGTACATTGTGGGAGATTGGACCCAGGATCATTAAAGCATCCTTCAAAACAAAGGAGGACATAACAATGAACGTCATCCAATGTTATGCACCTACCAATCACTACAATGACGACGTTAAAGATCAATTCTACGAAAGGCCGCAGTCAATCGTCGAGAAATATCCACCAAAGGATTTGACGATTCTTATGGGAGACCTGAATGCCAAGGTTGGAATGGACAACACTGGATATGAAGATATCATGGGACGACATGGACTGCCAGAAAGGAACGAAAACGGTGAGAGATTTGCAAACCTATGTGCCTTCAACAAACTGGTCATCGGTGGCACAATATTCCCGCACAAGCGCATACACAAAGCCACATGGATTTCACCAGACCATACTACTCAAAACCAGATTGATCATATCTGTATCAACAAAACGTTCAGAAGGACTATGGAGGATGTGAGAACCAAGAGAGGAGCTGATATAGCCTCAGATCACCATTTGCTGATCGCCAAAATGAAACTCAAACTAAAGAAGCACTGGACAACGGGACAGACAACATCACACAAGTTTATCACGGCCTTTCTTCGGGATACTGTAAAGCTCAACGAATTCAAGATGGCCCTCACCAATAGGTTCCAGGCCTTTCAGGATCTACTCAATGGAGAGGACGCAACATTGGAGAACAATTGGAAAGGGATTAAGGAGGCAATCACTTCAACATGTCACGAAGTTCTGGGTCACAAGGAATGGATTTCTGTTGATACTCTTGCAAAAATTGAAGAAAGGAGGAACAAGAAGGCAGCAATCAATGTCAGCCGAACAAGAGCAGAGAAAGTTAAGGCACAAGCTACACACACAGAAGCAAACAGGGAGGTGAAGAAGAGCATCAGAGCTGACAAACGAAAATATGTGGAAGATCTAGCAATGACGGCGGAAAAGGCTGCAAGAGATGGAAACTTGAGACAATTGTACGAAACAACAAAGAAGTTCGCTAGAAACTATCGTAAACCAGAACGACCAGTGAAAAGCGAGGAGGGCAAAGTAATCAGCAACACTGAAGAACAGCGAAATAGGTGGGTAGAGCACTTTAAGAAACTCTTGAATCGACCAGCTCCGCTGAACACACCCAACATCGAACAGCATCCACGGACCTCCCAATTAATATTGGCGCACCTTCAGTTGAAGAGATCAGTATGGCCATCAGACAAATCAAGAGTGGCAAACCAGTAAGACCAGACAACATTCCAGCAGAGGCAATCTAAGCAGATGTAGAAGCAACTGTGAAAATATTTCACATCCTCTTCAAGAAGATTTGGGATGAGGAACAAGTATCATCAGACTGGAAAGAAGGATACCTGATCAAAGTACCAAAGAAAGGCGATCTCAGCAAGTGTGAGAACTACAGAGGCATCACTCTTCTTTCAATTCCAGGCAAAATCTTCAACAGGGTATTGTTAAACAGAATGAAGGACTTCGTAGACGTCCAACTTCGAGATCAACAGGCCGGATTTCGTAAGGATCGATCGTGTACTGACCAAATTGCTACATTACGGATCATTGTGGAACAATCAATTGAATGGAACTCACCACTGTACATCAACTTCATCGACTACGAGAAGGCATTCGATAGTGTGGATAGGAAAACACTGTGGAGGCTTCTTCGACACTATGGTGTGCCTGAGAAAATAGTTAACATCATACGGAATTCTTATGATGGATTCAAGTGCAAAATCTTGCACGTAGGACAGCTACCAGACTCTTTCGAGATGAAGAACGGTGTCAGGCAAGGTTGCTTACTCTCACCCTTTCTCTTTCTCCAGGTAGATCACGCCGTACTCACCAACGGTGACGTTACGGATATGAAGAATTGGATCCGTAACGCCTCTCAAACCAGTGACACCCAACATCAGGTCAAACTTGAAGTCAGGAATATGGAGGATCGAAAATATATTTGAATGGTGGTTGGTTGTCGAGCAGTGAGTGGATTAAGCTTTTTGGTTGATGCGAAGAGCTGCTTTGAATGGCGTACCCCACTTTGATCTGTTGCTTATGCGTGATCGAGCGCCTTCAGCCAGGGCGTGTCCAGTAAAACTAATGAATTCAGCACCAGTGTCGAAGACTTACAGAACTATTTGTTCCGGGGATTCCTTTACTGCTTCTTGTTCGTCTGTCTGAAATTCAGATTTATCTAGAGAGTGATTATTAATAAGGGAGTCATAAAAATTGAAACTATCTTAAGTTTAAAGTGATCTACGGAAAGAGGATCAGTTTGAAAATAATCATAATTAGAAATGGAACAACCTACTTCATTGATCTTTATTGGGTTTACCTGTCTGCTGTGAATTGAATAGTCATTCAAATCAAGAATCTTTACCATCCGAATACCCGATTCTCTAAATTATAATTCCAGCAGACGATCGCTAGTCGTTTCTTCGGCAAGACTGTACTTCTAATCATGTTTAATTCACTAAATGAGGTCAAATTATACTAGATATAAAGAGTTTAAGTGCATTGACATGATTTGTTGAATGTTTCACACTACGATATTGAAGTAAGAACTTATCGTCGCATTTTTTAGCTCTTCTAGATTGCGTGGATATATACTGATGTGATCAATTTTTTATAAGTTTGAACGAATTGTTATGGTAAACCATCAGATTGAGAATATCTTGGAGTTGTTTATAGCTGCCGGGTTCTACTGAGAACAAATCAGCTGTTAAGATTCTTTGAAAGGAATCCACTACAATTTAATAATATATGGGTTGTCTCTTCATGATTAAATATCTTCTTCACTGCTGTTTGAGTATAGCTTCCGCTGAGACTGTTCGTAATCATCACTTCTCGCCATTTAAAATATGAGTCATTGATAAGTGAAGCATAAAACGAGTTTAAAAATTAGCCGTCGGCATTTGGTTCTAGATTCCATCTCAGAACCATGTCAGCAGATGGTCGGTGAACTGACTTAGTTGGGAGGCAAATAAACTTCAACACCTGACGATTGATTAAAATATATCTTACACCAAAAAAGGTACTGATGAAGTCTTTTTACTTGCTGGAATACAGCTAAAACTTTATTCTAGATTTGAGAATATTTTTGTTCCCACTTGTTTAATTGTTCCGAAATAAAAATAACAGATGTCTCATTCTGCCCTAGGACTGGAAATAACACCTGAATAGATGCATCCGTAATGAAGATATATTTTTCACTTGGCAAAAACGGTTTCAGTAAAACCCTGCAATTTAAGAACTTTGAAATGTTTCTTAGTATATTGTTGTTTCGTTGTTCCTATACAAACGTTTTACTACAAACCAAGTCAAAAAGTGGAAATACTATTTGTGTAAATTAAAGAATAAACCGACAATAAAATTGAAGACTACTACACTATGGTATGAGTGCTGTCAGTCAATCATTTAATCAGCTACAACGTAGAAATTGGTGCTCATGTTGTTGGGTATGTTAGATCCCCAAAATTCGCTTGATAAATGCCTTATTTTGGTTTTCACGTTTGTCAGCATGGGCTGATCAGTTGACCTTGAGATTTCAATTCCCACCAGGAAAATCCATGGCTGTGATTGGCTGCTGTGTATTTTAGTGTGCTATTTTTGTGACTGTCCCAAGGACGTTTCTATGTTGTATAAATAAACGAGAGTTGTATGCTTGGTTGTACTGTGATTGCTGGGTGTTTGTAGAATATACTTTCTACGCTTACCAAGACTTCTGTTTTACCGTTTGGATTCAAGGTAGCCTACCTGGACTCTGATAAAAGTCTCGTTCGCGTTTATCGACTAAGGTAAACTCGTAATAGCGTCAAGCATACTAAGTTACGAACCCAATACATGTACATTTGTTCAAGTTTCCATACCACATTAGCGCAGAGAGATGGAATTGTCAGCTCAAGTCCAAAAGTAGTATAGGTTGTAGAAGTATTACTGATCGTGGAAAATACTAGAGATCGAAGATATGATTTG